GCAAAAAGAATAACCTCACGGCAAAAGTGAAAGACTCACGGCAAAAGAAATAACCTCACGGCAAAAAGAAATAACCTCACGGTAAAAGAAATAACTTCACGGCCAGAAGAATAACCTCACGGCAAAACAGAAAGACTCACGGCAAAGGAAATAACCCCACGGCAGCCTCACCGTGAGTCTCTTTGTCCTTTTTCTTTTTGTCGGGAGGTTTATCTATTTGCCGTTTACTTTTGTCGTGAAGTTATTTCTTTTGCCGCGAGGGTTTTCTTTTACTCGTTTCACCGTGAGGTTATTTCTTTTTGCCGTGAGGTTATTCTTTTCACCGTGAGGTGATTTCTTTTGCCGTGAGTCTTTTACTTTTGCCTTGAGGTTATTCTTTTTGCCGTGAAGTTATTTCTTTTGCCGTGAGGTTATTCTTTTTGACCAAACGGAAGTAAAGCGAATTTCTGCGAAATCACGCAGCGTAACAAAAAATGGGTTATGACTGAAACTATCAATTTGGTGGACACTTACAATACAAAATGGCGGCTTGACTACACAGCACGACACGGAGAAACGTCGCGAGTCTTTCTTAATTTGGCTCATTTTTGACCGCAATTTTAACCTCCAAACGGGTAAAAATTTCAGTTTCATTTAATTTTATGTTTTTTTCATGATCCGAGACGATCCGAGTCGATCCGAGTTGATCAAGATCGTATTTATAAATGGGACGATTATAACATCAGCTAGGCAAATAGAGACAATCTTGTAAGCATATATACACTTTAATTATATCATGGAGCGAAGTAACCTCTGTATGGAGCGAAGTGACTTTTGGTTGGGGCGAAATGACTGGGGGCGAAATGACCATGGGGCGAAATTACCGGATACCTTAACGGCTAAACAAAGGTTCGTAAAGAAAGGAGTACAATGGTTATTCCCTATGTGCACTGGTACACAACCAAAGTTAGTGATCTCTCCCAAAGTGCAGTGTTCATTTTAGATCATAATAATATTATATAACCACCGATTAAGTTATTATTGAAATCAGTCACAGTTCTCAAATCACTTTCTGTTGTTCGACAAAGAAAAGTCGTTCCCAACCCTCTTGGTTCGCGCGGCATTTTGAATGACGCATTCTCATCCGGGCCTTGGCTAAGAGGAGCGAAAAGGGCTATGGGGACGAGAATGTGAATGACAGTCACGAGTTTTGTTCACTTGCGTTACTTATTGATGCACTGCAAGACCTCCCACTTCTAAGCATGTTTTCGTTTAAGCTGTGTTGGATAGTTTTCGTGCTGGATGCGACATTGGCTTCGTATAGAAGTGCCGATTCTTTGAATAAGAGGGTAAATTCTTCCAGTGTCTTTCGTTTTGCAAACATTTATGGCGACCACATGGTTCTACAGATGAAACCCTTCAGCGCAATGGTTTGGGGATTCGGTCAAATAGGCGAAAAAGTTGTCGTCCAGTTGGGGAGTGAAACTCAAACGACTGAGGTAGTCACAGGTTAGCTATTGAGTTTGCCAAAAGGTGGTTTATTAACATAGAAATTCTCCATATCGTTGTTTCCCCCTGGGTATTTCTAGAGGGGGGCGGGGGAGGGAGGGGATTTGGGCAGTTTTCTCGGGTATGAATTTTTTTCTCACCTGTAGTTTGTGCAAGAATTTTTTTTTTCGGTCAAACACAGGACCTGGATAGTAAAAACCGCATGTTCAATGTTTTTCCCTTAGCTCCCCTTGCATGATCTTTTTTTCAGCAGTTTTTACTATACAGAAATATTTTTTTTGGAAATTGTCCTCCCCATCCTCCTCAAAAAATAATGGCCTGTCCCTTAAAACACCCGAACTTGTGATTAACATCGATTATGCTAAGATCACAGCAGCAGAAAATAGTGTGTTGATCATTCTGGGTTGTTATCGTACGACACACGGGAGCAGATTGTCAGGGTGGCAGAAAGGAAGTTAAGGGAAAGAGGTCTTTCTAGCCTGTGAACAGGCTCCCGGCAAGGACAGAAGGGTTGAGAGAACGAAATTAACAGAGAACAACAAATGCACAATTGTCACGCACCGTAGAAGTCGTGTAGGGCAGTCAACTGCATTTTACAAAGATCTGTCAAATATTTATCTCAAAGATGTCAGCAATCAGCGGTTTAACCAATCATATCATGATACCAGATCCTAGTATCATGGAATGGTGGCATCAATAGAATGTCTACAGGCTCCCTCGCTTCAGTTGGGCTCACCGGGAGCCTGTTCACAGGCTAAGGTCTTTCACTTTCCATAATTTTCGTACTTTTCACCTTACATGTCATTTGTCCTTGTATGTCATCACAATTTTTGACCATTCTGTGGTTCTTGGAAATGCCAATATATGGCTCATTGGAGGTACCTGGAAATTCTGCCAAGGGTGGGGTGGGGTGGGGGCCGGGGGGCCGGGGTGGTCTTTGATATCTGGAATTTTAAGAAGGGTTGGAGCCAAGAGAGGAATATGGCTATTTCAACTGATGTTTCAACTTCTCTCTCTCTGTCAATTATTAGCACTGTTAGTTGTAAAATGTTAAATTTATCACCTGTAGATTGACATGGACCATGACATTTTTTTCTATTTAATTTGAAACTACTGTTAAGATCATAAAAATTCTGGACATTTACTGGGTAGTGTTCCTGGCATGCTTAAAACCCAGTACAGAAACATACAAAATACACTCTTTAAATTTAATTTATTCTATAAATTGAATTTACAGTGCAACTGTTCTCTAGCTTAACTATTAAGAAGAAAATCAATCAGTCAAATGTAAAATTATTTATAACAATGGATGGTGATCTTTGTGTTAACTGCTAGATCAATGACTTTGAAACATCCAAACAGCATTTCTACAACAAAAGTTTAAACTATGTGAGGGTAAATAGGGGACTGTTTTCCTTGAATTTGTATGCTTTTGATTCCTCTACACTGCATACACTTTACAAATCCATCATTGATGGTAAATTATCTTAGTATTATTAATTTTCTTGTCTGAACATTTAAGCATGAAAAATTCAATTTGTGATGGCCGAACCAAATCCAGCTGAAAATCAATTAAAATTTAGAATATGCAGTTGGTTCATTTGCGGTAACCCATTCCGTTTTTCTAAATAATTGTTTTAAGTGAGTTATTTTGTTCTAAGTGAGGGAAGGATGGTTCAAATACTTGCATTGTAATGAAGTTCATCCTTAGCAAACCATCCCACCCTAAGACCCATTTGTATTCAACTTGTTATAGGTCCTGAAGGGTCGGGCATATGGAAAGTTGCTTTAGATTCTCAAGGTGCTGGTGGACCTCACACCATAACAGCTACCTCAGTAGTGGATGATGTCGCAGAGACTATAACACTGAAAGATGTCTTGTTTGGTGATGTTTGGGTTTGCAGTGGGCAAAGTAATATGGCATTTACAGTTAGCCAGGTAATAACATGTTTAGTAATGCATCTATCATTGTTAAGCCTGATGGTGGGGGACCCTGGGCAAATGTGGGGCATTTGACTTTTCAGAAGAATTTTTGGTTAAAATACAAACTCTAGGGCCCAAAAAATGGGTAACATTAGATCAAATATCCCCACCGTAGTGTAACACCGTAGCATTGTGCCTTGTAGGCATCCATTTATTTCAAGATAGGCATAATTTCTTGGTGTCAATGTATGGAACATAGTAGAATTTCAACGCTTAATTGTCTGACGAAAAGTGAGAATATAACTATTTAAGATCCACACAATCTCCACAAAGTGGGGTGTTCCATCAATTTATATTGAAACTGAGTAGTGAGAAGTGGTTGTTTTCTTAATTGAAAGCAGTTGCTCACCTCACCAGTGTTCTTCTTCACAAGAACTATTTCAAGATGGCCACACAGATGAGCACACGTGATAATGATATATAATCTTCTTTGCAAAAAAATCAAATGCCCCCACTTTAGGGCACAGACTCCCAAGGGTGGGAAAAGCAATGGAAGTCAAATGCCCCACATGTGTATACCCTGGGTCCCCCCAGGCATAACATTGATAGACACATAACAGTCAAAGTAACATGTTTTTAACATGTACAGTACATTAAAATGTACTGTACATGTAAATCTTTTTAACCTAGTGCCAAGACCATGGGGGAAGAATAGTGGTTGTTAATGATTCTCCCATGGCCCAGCAAGCTTGATTATGTAACTGAAATACTTTCCCTAGATTTGATGGAGATTTCTTTGTCAGAAATTTTGAGGAGCTTGTTGAGGCAAAAGTGAAATATGGGAAGGTGGGGGGTGGGGGGGAGGGTGACTTCCATGTAAAAAGGAGGGGCTTAAAAAAGCAGTATTGCTACCTCTTAAGGTCGGCACACATGATGGTACTAGTACCTGCAACTAGTACCTGCAACTAGTCCCCTGAAGAGGTTACACGAAGAGACTGGTCACAGGGACTTGCCCCATGAACAGTTCACACAAAACTTTTTGACAAACAAGTTGAAGGGACTTGTCCCAAAAATTCAAACCAGTTCAAATTCATGGGTCTCGTGGTACAGACCAAATTTTGGTCCCTGTGACTAGACTTTGTGGAAAAAATGGCTTTTTCACATGATGGAAGTTGTCCCCGCGACTTGTTGCAGGGGCTAGTCCCCTCGTGTGTGTTGACCTTTAGGGTGTTCAGCCTCAAAAGGTCCACAGCAGGAGCTGATCTGCAGTACCTTTTAGTGTACTGAGCTGAAAACAATATGACAGGAGACAATGTGGTGTTTTAGAATTAGTACCGCTTAGGGTTGGAAAAAATCAAGTTAAGCCACACCCACAAAACAGGATTTTGATACCTCTTAGGGTTTTTAGAATGATCAAATTATTACTATTTTTGCTATCCATTACCAGTTCCATTACCACTCTCCCTAGCATATCTTGTGTTTTATTATAAGATTTTGTATTTTTTTCCACAAATTTAACTTGAATGCTTTCTCCAACTAAAGAGCAAAAAAAAAAAAAAAAAAAAAAAAAATTAAATTTGGAACATTTTGACCACATTTTACTAAGTTTAACAGGTGAACCTTAACTATATAATAAATATCATTTTATAATATGTTTTTTACTCAATCCAATTTAGGTGATAAATGCTTCAAAGGCAATTGAAGAGGCAAACAGTTACCCAGAAATAAGATTGTTTACAGCATATCAAATAGAATCAAGTACTCCTTTATATGAACTGAAAGAAGTCAAACAACCTTGGAGTGTAGCTTCAGCTGGTAAGAAACTCTATCTTCCTTGGAGGATATCTTTTGCCAAGAGTTATATTTCTATTTTCTACAGAAACAGAACTAACACAAACTGTTGAGGTATGGATCCCTCTAGCAATGAGAATTTACATGAATGAATATTCCAGATGTTTTGGAGAACTCTTGAAAACAAGCAGCAGCAACACTTGCCTTGTATTCTCAAAGCATTTTTCCTTCTCTCAAACTTCCAAATATGTCTCCATAGTTTGATGGAAATACAGAAAGTATTTAAATATCAGCTTTTGCTTTTTCTAAAGAAACTGTCAATGGTGGTGCCTGGAACTATTTCTCAGCTGTTTGTTGGTTTTATGGTAAAAACCTTTATGACCACTTTAAAAGACCTATTGGATTAATTGCCACATACTGGGGCGGCACCCCAGTTGAAGCTTGGTCCTCTCCAGATGCTCTAAAGAAATGCAACATAACTGGAGATAAAGTAGATCACCTGTAAGTAATGGAAATGTGCTGCTGGTCTAGATAACTATATTATACACATTTTCTTAGTAAGTGCCGAGGGCTTATTAAATTTCTGCTGTTGGTGCTTATTTAGATAGGACACTTTGTTTCTGTACTTGTGTACCTATTCATGACAACTACAAGCCACAAACTTTTAATTGATAATTTGGCTCTTGGCTGATGGATTTGAACTCAATATAGTGTAACTGTGGGCACAGGGCAGGGGTGGATTTTTTTTTGGCGGGGAGGTTGATTGGGTCGCTAGCCACCCTCCTCTTGGCTAAGCAATAAATGAAAAAGATTGTGAAAATAAAGAAATTGCAGAAATAAAGGCAAAAACTCTGGATAAGTACCTCATTGTAATTTCTAGTTTGTGGCATTGCTAGTATCTCTGGTGTAACAGCTTTAAATTAGGTTTCAATTCTCAAATTGAAACACTTTGTGGGCATGCTCCTTTGATTCATGCAGTGGAGCTCAGTTGTGGAAAAACATACCTATTGAACTAACACAACCAAACTTTTTTAAGTTCTAGACTAAACTAAGTTGCCACAGTTTTAAGGAAATTTTTATCTACACAGCCTCCGTGAAAAGCAGTTGGGAAGATAGGTAGCTAGTTGATCATCATAAATAGACTGACAGAAATACTGTGTATAAATGAAGTTATTGTATCATATCATATCGTACCCCAAAGTACTAGCAACCGGCCCCCCCCCCCCCTGAAAAATCCTGGATCCATCCCTGCAGGGGTGGATACTCAAGGGGGAAGGGGGGATGGTGACTGGTACTTTGCGGTTGGAGAATTAATGGGGCATATTCCCTTTGTGTTGCAATTTGAGAAATGGAACCTAACTGCATACTGTTTCACCAAAATGATGCACCTGTCTTGAGTGTTTGGCTTTATTTCTGCCATAATATTCACAATCGTTTTCAATTTTTTAAATATTTTTCTTCTCCAAAAGGGGGGTGGCTAGCCACTTAATCCAATCTCTACCAAATCCACCCCTCAGACAATTTCTTGAAAACTCACCTTAACTCAGTACAGAGGACTTAGTAATGGCAGATAAGAGCTTGTTGTAAAGTTGGAAAAGGGTTGTTTTCTAGTCAGAATAGGCTCACTTAACATTTACAAAACACTTTAGTATAAACTGGGACATTTCATAGACACCTGGAGTCCAAGGGCTCCAGCAACGTTTTCTCTCACAAATATTGCCAGACTTTCAAGGCAGGGTGAATCATTCAGTCTGTAGGATTACAAAGGATCAGGAAATGAGATCTGGCTAGATGCCATCCATTTTCCACATGTGACCTGTGGAGTAGGTGCATTTTAATGGCCGGATTTTCTCCCATTTAAAGATTTTTTTCTTGTCAAACATTTTTGTGCTGGTAATCAACCTTCTATTGACTGTGCACCGTGCAAGATGGGCCAAACGGTGGACCACACACTTTTGAATTGAGATGAAATTGGCATTGTGTGCAATGTAAAGCTGGGATGGTTTGCTCAATAACAATACAGGGGCAGATTTATTGGAGTGGGGTGGATTGGGTGGCTAGCCACCCCCTTTTAGAGAAGCAAAACACTAAAAAAATTTGAAAAAGGCTGTGAATATTATGGCAGAAATAAAGGCAAACTTGCTGGACAGGTACCTCATGGTTATTTCTACTTTGTGGCATTGCCATTATTTCTAGTGACATGATTTCCAATCATTTTGGGGGTTGCCTCATTGATTCTGGAACCCTAAGGTACCTGCCAACCCCTTGAAAAATCCTGGATGCACCCCTGGCAATATTTATTTAGTACATACTTAATCTAGTGTATTTGTTAATTAGTATGTATTTTGTGTTGAGGTACTTGTCACCTGAAGAGGAGAAGTTCTTCAGCCCTAATGAACACTCTGTATTGTACAATGCTATGATCCATCCTCTCCTTAACATGACCATATATGGTGCAATTTGGTATCAAGGGGAAGCTAATTCTCATGAACCATATACATACAACTGTACATTTCCAGCCATGATTGATGATTGGCGATCCAAGTGGTTTCATGGCACAGATGAACTCACAGCACCTGACTATCCTTTTGGATTTGTACAGGTACAAAGTACAAGTTATTCTCACTAGGCTGATGAGTATAGAGGGCGAGGGGTTTAGGCTGGGACTGAGCTGGTGTTTTAGTCATTTATTATGTATTGATTGATAATAGTAATAGGACTGAGTGGAGTCCAATTTGGTCTCTAATCATACAGGTGATTACCGGTAACAAAATCGGACGACCGCAAATTTGTTAATCATGAATATGATTGCAGGCCAAATTACAGGCCAAAATTTGAAAGGCACAATGTCCTGTTACCAATTAATCATTAGTCAGTCTCTTGAACATAATATGTTGTTTTCTTTAAATTATTGGTCTGCATTATTGCTTCAAAACACTTTGCAATACATTCAAAAAATACATGCAAGATTACCTGATAATTAGATACAACAGCAGTTGAACTGGAAAAAGTCGATAAGCGAGTCAACAAGTCAGGCAGAACGTGCGATTTTGCTATGATGTAACACCACTAAATGGTGTGAACAACAGGCGATGACGATTAAATTCCTGTGAAAGTCCAGAAATGGCAACCAAAGGCTGAAGCCATTACATGACCTGTTCAGGTTCTTCAAAAGGTAGATAAGGCTATCCACCCAATAAATCAGTATCCAGTGGATTCTAGCGTGGTTCGTTTTGTTATCACTCATCCACTGGATAGCGATGTATCCGGTGGATAGCGCTATCGAGCCTTAGAGCTACTGGGGCCAGCATCATTGATTCATCAACTCAAGAAGTAATGGCTATTCTGATAAGTGTGTTGGTTGTGAAAAGTTGAATATTAAGGAAAGTTGTGCCTGATTCTCAAAAAGAAAATGTAAGAATTGACTTTCAGTGTGGAACCATTGCATTCATTGGACACCATTTCATTCATTCAGCACATGAATGAATTTGGTTTATTTAGTGTTGTGTATTTTGTTTTTGTTCAGTTGTCTGCCACTGGAAATGATTCAGTTGTTGCAGATGGGTTTCCTGTTATTCGCTGGGCTCAGACAGCCAACTATGGTTATGTTCCTAACCTCCGAGAACAAAATGTGTTTATGGCTGTTGCCATGGATTTGGGAAATGCATCAGCGCCATATGGCAGTATTCACCCAAATGATAAACAAGATGTCGGTTTCCGTTTGGCGCTTGCTGGACGAGCAGTTGCTTATGGAGACATTGATGTATATTATTCTGGGCCAATTGTTTCTGATGTCATATTTACTTCGGTGGCTAATACAACAACTTGGAACACTACTGTGAAATATCAGCATGAGAGTGTAGGTAAAGGAGGCATTCAACTGAGATCAGGACACGGATTTGAGGTGCAGTTTATTTGCAAAGTTCTGTATTCCAGGTACATGTAGTCTGATTCTGAGGTGGCTGGGGCGGCCGGATTCATGATTTTAGAGAAGGGCGTTCGAGATACAGACCGCTGCAGGGGGTCCCTGTAGGGGGGTCCAGAAAAACTTTGAAACTGAGGTCCTCTGAATGGGATTTCTGACATTCCGAGGCCAAGTCAGCGTGTTGTAGTCTCATTTTTTTAATTTAGGGGCTCAACGAAACCCCCCCGAGCCCCGTAGTCCGCCCCAGGGTGGTGCAAGTTGGTCAGCTCTTCTTATGAAAGTGGTCAGCAACATCGGATCATCTAAGAATGAGGCTACATTTCCGAGGAGTCTCTTGTTGAGTGATTAGTAACTTGTTTGTTTGCTTTCTCTTGTAGTCCAACGATTATTAGTGATCTTTTCTTACAAAGAAGGTCAGATCAGTAACTTTTCAGTTGAGGAATAGACGTTTGAAACAATGTACGAAGCTGAATTCATTACTTCATCGCTGTTGCAGTGGAACCCCGCCTCAGGTCACCTCGTTATTACGGCCACTCTTTGGTCTCGGCAAAAAGCCCATACATTTCCTTGTAAGAAAACCCCGTTAATGCGGCCAACGGCCAAATTCTGAAATCTCAACCTGTATAATCCTTTATAATTTTTCCCCGTTTATACGGCCACTCGAACCGGTTATGTTCATCTTTTCATTGTTAATATTTCATACATTGATTCAAGTTTCAATTTTTGTTAAATTTTATCTGCATTCCGGACGCTTACTATGTTTAGAAGTGCTATAATTGTGATCATGTGTGATGTATCTGTTAAGAAATCACTCAATTTACACCAGTCGTGAGGTTTGACCCTACCCCGTTAATACGGCTACCCCGTTCATACGATCACATTTTCATGGCCCGTTGGTGACTGTATCTGTTAACGGGGTTCCACGGTATTAGGAGGAATGCTTGACCATCAGTTTTCAGTGACTGTAATTAACCATCTGGAAAGTAAGAAAACATATATATCTTGTGCCGTTAAAATTAGGTGCGTGTTTTACCGCCAACTCCTTTTGTTGTCTACAGTACTACTGCACATCGCTTGAACACGAGACACAATCCATGATCACACAGGCCAAGATTCTCTCGCGAGACTTCAACTCTGTAGGTTTGACTGGAGAATGCCCTGCTCAGCATGTTCTGAAAGGATTGAGGTACGCGTGGTACACAAAGCCTTGTGAATTCAAGAAATGTGCTGTTTATAGCAACGAGAATGAGCTTCCAGGACCTCCGTTCACGTGGAATGCACCGGTCAACTGAGTTACACAAGGAGTGCGCAAGATCAGTGTCGATGGTGATTTTTGTTTAATTGAATGTAAACTTTTCTAGGACGGTTATTAGGTGAGAAAAGAGACTTTTTAATCTATGTTTTCAGTGACGAACAACTGCACCATTGTTACGATCCAAGATCAAGACAAGCAAAACAACACAGTTTACATAATTGTAGATTATTAGTATATAGCTGCACTGGTATCTTTGAAAGAATAAATAATCTCCAAGAAGTTATCAAGTAAACGACTGTAATATAGTCGATAAAAGTGCCGTTTTTTGTCACTGACTTGTATATTCTAGCAAGACGTTGACGTCGACTATGTCATCTCTTGACTACATTTACTCAATTTTTAAACAAACGTCTGTAATTCCTGTTTTAATGTAGTATACTTAGTGCAAACTATCAAATTACACATAACTACAATGCAATATACAAGAGAACAGAAAGAAATTAACCCATAATCCCTAGGAAACCCCTTCAGCTTCGAGAGTCGATTGATCATCCTGAAGTTGATTTCAGATCTGAAGAACATACTGGGCAGCTTTCTGTCTCTCCCTAGCCCTACTTGCGGGTTCAGGTTATAATGTGGGCTGCAATGGGACGCCTGACACGAGGCCAAAACTCGCGCGTGCTTATTACGTTTTTCCTAATCGAGTGTGAAGGGAATCCTTGTACTGTGTTCTTGATCTTAGAACTTCTTGCCACTAACCACTGTCTTTCACCCGTTTTGAGTGTTAAGTGCATAGCTCGACATGCTATGTAACCTGGCCTACGTCAAAAATGTAAGCACAACTGACTTCTTTATGGTCGAACTCGACTTTTATGTCATGAAAGATGGATTTATTTGACATCAAACTGAGGCTAGGAGTATCAATCAATCAATCAATCAATAAATAGATAAATTGACTGTTTTGAATGTTTACATCTTTCGAATATTAACTGAGTGGCAGCGGCCGAATTCTACCGGAAGTCGCCATTGAGAGCCGAGCGACCAGACTAACAAAGTCCACAATCTCCTTCAAGTTCATTAATTTGAGGTCAGTAATTGTCATTTAATTGTCATTTGTTCCGCTAATAACCGGAAAAATTGCCAGTTTCACAGTAAAACGGTCTTTCAGCCGGTCTTTGAAACTGAGCACTGAAAGCGGGTGTAAGTATGTGGATATGTAGCTGTTGTAATCGGTAAGAACGGGAAATCCTATCGGAGAATCCATTATTGATGCATATATCATGTAGAAAAAAGATCGTTTGTGCGGTGACAGCTAGAGCTATTTTCAGTTCTGTTCATTTATATTCATTTTGATAAATACAGGATGAATAAATGGATGAATTTATAACTAAATATTGGAAACAATATTATCTACACTTTCAATAGAACAAGTGGGATGTTGAAAAAAACCGCCGGAGAGATCTCCAATCAAAAGCAAGGAGCTTATGAGCTTGTAAATGGTTCATCGAAGCAATAAACCGTTAAAATAATTTTTTTTCCATGCGGTTTACTAGTAAAACAATCAAAACTACAGTCAAACCCCTAATAAGCAGCCATCTTTTGAACGGCCACCCCTATTAAGCGGCCAGTTATCAAATTCCCGATGGGGGCTTTTTTATTGTTTTCACCTCTACTAAGCGGCCAGCCCCCTTAAAGCGGCCACTATCTATTTCCCCCAGGGTGGCCGTTTCATAGGGGGCGAACTATATGCACAGTAGGGGAGTATGAACCGGATATAAAAAACATGATGTATATCTCCATGTTTTTATTTAAGAAAACGCCAGTGCTAGTTTGAAGGTGAGGACTTTTTAAATAAACTCCGCTTTAAAACGATTTTCAAACTGACCACTTTTAGTCAGTTTTTTTTTTTT